ATAAGATTTAACTGAATTCCATTCTTGGTTAAGTTTTTCTTTATCAATGATTTCATTAAATTCATTTTCATTTACAAGTTTGATTTCCCCATAAAAATTACCTAAAATTTCTATTTCTTGATTTCCATACATGACTAACTCTGTGTCATCATCTGGAAGTTCCTTTGGATCAAAAATACTAAGAGCATTATATAATTCATATTCTGGAAATCTGTTCTTGATGGCATTAATGATTGCAATTGAATATTCTCTAACAAATGATGGAATAAAATTATAGTTATCTTCCAAATGTTTTTGGAATATTGTACCATAATTTGGTGGAACTTCTTCAGAACCTATAAATTCAGTTTCAATTGTTTTAATTGCAACATCAAGTTGTAATTTAAAATGAGATATGGATAAATGTTCTAACTGGAATGCATTGATTAATTTCTTTAAAATATTTGTTAAATCAGCAAGGTACATTGTTGCTGAAATGAAAGTATCATCTAATTGTTCATATAAAATTTCTGCAAGTCTATCTCCTTCTTCAATATAATCATTTAGAGTAGACAATACAGATTTCATGATTTTATGTAAATTACTCACAGAATTTGAAAATGACAACCACCTAGTATCACACATGTTTAAAATTACAAGTGATGGCTCTTCATTAATTTCCTAATTAAAATAAAAATTATTTAATAAAAATAAATGAAAAAACAGATTAAAAAATATAAATGTAATTACCTGCATCAACTTCAACATTTGTTGTCTTTTATGAGATTTTGAAAAATAATTATACAAATTTTTAAAGTTTTTTTCGTATTTCTCAAAATATATAACATATTTTGAAGCATCTTTTCCAGCTAGATGAAGTCTATGTGATATACAATGGTTTGAAGTCATAAATGGATTGGTTTTTTTAAATCTTGCTGCAACACTTAAGACTAGTGCCGTAATCCAAAAAAGGAAAAAGTATGGTTGCAAAAGTGGTCGCAAAGGTAATTGCAACAACTTTTTATATGCCGTAAATACAATTACTACCATCATCATAATTTACAGCACTAGTCTTTATGCAACACCACTTATGTATCCTAATAAAAATGTATTCTCAGTTAAGATAAAAAAAAAAATACTAAACTTTACTTAATTAAATATTAATTCATACCAGTCATATTAGAAGCACCATCACTTCCAAAATGAATAATTTTATCATAAGATATTTCTTTTGAATTACAAAATGTTATAATTTGGTTAAATATATTTTCACCATCAGTCAAGTCTAGGTTAACCATACCTAAATATCTCATATATGGTATATTATTGATGATATATTTTCCTACTATTGCTAAATATTTGTCATTATCAACACTATTGGTTTCATCAATCATTATGCTCCAATAACTGAGGAATTTAATTCTTCAAAGAGAGATTTTTTAATTGTATAAGCAATACTATCTAATAAATCAATACCAGATACATGATTATTATAGTTTCCATATTTTGATTTAGATGGTGATGGTTTTCCTAATGAAGCAGGTTTCAAGGTAGAGACTTTATCACTAATTATTAATTCTTTATTATTTTCAATTTGTA